AATATTGTTAGCCTATAGCTAAACTTAAAAATACTTGGCGAAATATAAAGCTTCTATAAGAAATAATCAATAAGAATACCACTGTTCCTTTCTGTGTCTTATCCTAATTTGGTCCTCTTCTTACTTTCAGTCTTGCCTTTTGTCTCATGATTTATTTCTTATTTAAACAGCATAACCTCTTTTTATGTATTAACCATTCATTTTTCTCTTAATATATTATTCTCCCAAGTTATATATTTTATAGCACTCAAATCATTTCTCTTTTTAAATATTTTACTAAATGTATTGCTATAAGGAGGTGCTGAAAAGTTCTTGGCTCTAACAAGAAGCCTTTCCAAAATAACCTTATGTTCAAGTGGATCAAGGTAAGAACTTTTCAACACTTTCCCCTCATACTGCTATATTCTTTTGATGATAAAATGTTTGTGTACATTATTCAATTTTGATAAATATCATTTGTATATCTATACAAGATTCAGAAATTCTTTAATAAATGATGGCTTACACCTTTATCTATCATTTGTGTATAATATGAATAAATAAGGAAGCATAGCAGTTATCAGCATGGTAAATGGAATTAGTAAACCTTGTTCAACTTCCAGCACTCCCTCATACAAACACAATTTTTTTTCCTTTGATTTAAATTAAATTTAAATTTGAACAAGGGAATGGCTCCTATACAAAATATAGGAGAAAGCCAGAAGATGGAGGTCACATTGTCAAGATCATTGAGTAATATTGAAATGCATCATTTTTCTCCACATAACCATGATTTAAAATCAATCATTTTCTTACGAAAAATGTGTGACACACAGCAAGGCATGGGTAATTCAGCTAGTATGTGATTGAAAAGACAGAGTGAACACAAAAATCAACATTGCAGGATCACTGTCAGTTTCATATTTCAAGCTCTCTAAAATATAATTTATATTTACACTGTCTGTCTACTAATGCCCTCTCTCTAATATTGAGCACACTTCTTTCATAATTAATGGTAATGATAAAATTCTCTTTTCTTGTAAGTAATCATTCAGCATATAGCCAGTGTGCCTGTTGGTTGAACTTTTTCTTAAAACAATTTTTCAGGAAAATAGGTCTCTCAGGTTCAGTAACTGTTATCACTCTTTCCAGTCTTGATAGAGGTTCACTCCCCAGCATTTTGATTGAATTAGGCTGGAATATCAACATCTTGATTATGTCATTATTTTTTTCTTCAAGTTATGATATCCATTTTAGTTTTTGCTATTATTGAAAATCCTCAAGTGATGTGGTTTCTGTCATTTGGTATAGTTCTTTGTGATTCTATAGTGTGCCAGTCCACAAGGTTTGAAAAAGGATAGTCCTCATTGAGACCTACAGGTTTCATAGCATATTTTAAACAATTCTGAAGAGGTAAAAACTTTTAAAAAACCGAAAAATGTTATTTCTCCAAAATATTTTGCTAAACAAAACATTCTAAAAAGCAGGTAAAATGTGAGAGAAAAGTAAAAAGAAACTTCATTTCTTTTCACTGCCCTAGCTGCCTTTTTGATTTAATTTCATCCAACCTATTCAGCCATGTCGACTTATGTAGACAAGTCCTAATAAAAACTTGAATGCTGCCTGGGGGGTGTCTGTCTGCCTAAAAGCAAGTTTCTCTTTTGTTGCCATTGTTGATATCAACCAAATGATTGAAAGGTGTTGAATATGGGCCACACTTTTAGCACTTATTCACTTATAAATAAATCTATTTAGGAAAAGTTATTTTCTAAGAAATTATGTGAAAATGATTTTTGAAGTCAAACTCCCTTTATTTAATTTTATGAAATCTTGGTATCTTTTGGATACTAGTGATATTTACATTTCTCTAAGTCCCCAGAGAAATTAAATCAGAAACTTCAACTTTATAGCAAATATATGCCCTGAATATGAACATTTTAAATAAAAAAATAAAATAAAGAGAATATTTTTTAATATGTATATGAGATCTACTTCTGTGGAAGAACTTAAAAAATGTTATTTTTGTTCTAATCAACAAAGTTTATTTATTTTGAAACATGTATTTTTTTTGTTTTCATTTTTTTATTTCTTCTGCTGCTTTTGTGAAATACTTAGACAAAGTGAAAGTTTTAGTAGTTTGAGAATGGGTTAGAAAAAGGGAAGTGAATTTCATGTATGTATGCATACATCTTGTATTGCTGCTTAGTTGAAGAGAGAAAGGATTTGAATATTCATTTGCTTTTTAAATGAGTATCTTGTATTTTTTATTTTTTTATTTTCTCTCAATACATTGGCAATACTGATAACTATATATTGCTGACAAAGCAGAAGCTATAAGGATAAGAATGGAAACACCACCAAACAATAACTGTATATAAATGTTGGGGTTGAAACTACAAGTAATGTTTTCAACAAGTGTTATCTTTGTGTTCAAACATAGATATGTATATAGAAGATAGAATAGGAAGAATTACATTGAATGAGAGAAATATGGATGTGATATCTGAAGATTTAACTAACTTTCTCGTCATTAAATTGCAGTCATCTTTGCTAGAGATGATCATGTGTTATTTGTTCAGTAAGATATTGCTCATGGAGAACTGACAAGAATCCTCTCTTTCATGCTACTTGTATCCAATGAAATAACTATTACTATTATGTCATGGTGAACCAGATCAAGATCCCCCCACCAAAACAGGTTCTTAAAAATGTCAGGATTAATCACACAATGCAAGATTTTTGTTTGTAATATGGTCAGATTTCAATCCTATTCATAAAAAGAAACAGTCTTTTATTAATACTTAGTGGAGGCTTACATAAATGTAGATGGCCAGTTGCAGTTCATTGAAGTAATCAAGCTCCGCTTCATGCAAGATCTAACAATGATAATCAAAAGAGAGATATTTCTGATCACTCTGGTGTTCCTCTTATTCTTCCCTTTTAAATTATGCTAATATAAAATGTAATTCCTTTTAATACTAAGATGATATTGCAGGTGTTTCTAAATAAAGAAAGCTGATTCTTTCTCACTTATATTTTCAATCCAAATTGTCTTGAAATTGTAAATAATTTTAGTGTTAATGAATGATTTGAAAGTCAACATGATCTGTTTTCCCAAGTTCCTCATGCTCATTTGAAAAAATTGTTTACATCAGAAAGCATCATTTATAGGCAGGATCTCTTACTTATATTCTTGATAATGAATTTCAAAGATGAGCATGACCCAACTCCCACATACTCACAATTTTATGAGCAAAAGACAAAATAAGAAATGGAATCGGATGATAATTTTGTTTCTGATGAAATTTCAAATTGAGTTGAAATTTCCAAGCTTTTTTTCAAAGAGTTTGTGATCCATTTGTCTTTTGGAAGACTCAATTCAATTTATTGCATCATTCAACAAATTCCTTTCAGTGGATGCAAACAGCCTCTCCTCCTTCCTTGATCACTCTTCTACACCTGTCACCTCCACCATTTGGTTGAAGACTAATTAAAAAAAAAAAAAAATTATTGTTCCAAATGCTATCACCTCATAAGTGAATTGACACAACAGTTGGCTTTCTTGCCTTTGACTCAAAAGACACTTTCCCAGGGAAAATTTTGCAACTCACATTATGATGACAATTTATTCTGCCGAAGGTCAACATATCAGCAGGTGTTCAGCTTATTGTTTTCAATCTTGACATCTCTGCAAAAAGATTTTATTTGTAACTGGCATTTAATCCAATTCCCCTCCTGTTGATTTCACAAGTGTTGTTTGTCAAATACTGTCAACACTTGATCCATCCTACAAACCAAGCATTGCTCTCAGCCGGTCACTTGGTTCATTTTATAAACCTTGATTCTCTGGGAATTAGTTGTTATCAGTCTATCATTCTTGATATTCATTTAACCCTTCCTATGGTAGTTTATTCATCAATATCTCATTTTCATTGATATTTCAAGTCTTTATTATTTATTACCAGCAACCCAAATAGTGTTACAATAGTACCTATAATGGTTCTATGAAAACTCGTGATAAAAAATTTTCCAAATAACTTTAGGATTTCTTTGGATATTGTTAGTTCTTTATTATTCTCCTTGGATACTTCTAATTGTTGGTATTAAATAATAACTGTTTTAATAATCAAGAAATGAATAGAGAATTTTAATAAACAAGTCATTTTTTTAATTATGCAAAGAAATTACATAAATAGCTTGTATAAAGGATCATTAAAAATTAATAAAATGATTTCTATCACCCTTGACAATTCTTTGGCATACAAGCTTGTACAAAGAAAAAAGTTTTTTTTTTTTTTTTATTTAAATTTTTGGTCACCATGAGACTTTCATAAATTTAAGTAGAATTTTAGCAATCATATTCTGTTTAACAAGCCAAAAACAATTACAAAAACAGCCAAAATCCTGCTTTGAATAGACAAAATTATTGTTTAACAATTAACTTTGTGCTATTTTCTTGCAATTAAAACCAAAATTAAAACTTCATAGAAGAAATTTATGTTATTGCCATATATTTTTAATTAAAAAAAAAATAGAAGTCACAAAGTTATCTATGTTTTAGTTTTGTTGGTTTTTTTGGGGGGGGTTTCAGATCAGATTAAGTTATAAATTTGAAATAAAACTAGTCATAGATACCAAATTTTTTTTTTTTTTTTTTTTTTTTTTACCTATATTTATGCATCAGTCAAAAAATCTAGAAAATTATTCATAATCTTTTTTGAACACAAAAGTATGGAACTGATTTCTAAATTCTGCTTTCCCCACATATCAATCCATATAAAAATTTTGCTTTTCATTATATATCAATCCATAAAAAGCTCTACCAAAAACTGATCATTTTCTTAGTTGCTGTATGATCAGCTAGATACTCCTTGATATCCACTATGATTTTCTTTAATATTTATTTCAATTATGGGACTAAAACAAAAATTATTATAACATTTTCTATATATAAACATGACATGAACTGCCAAAGTATCAATCAGTATAAATATATTTTTTTCCTTTTTTTTTTTTTTCAGTTTGTCCATCACGTGGTAGTTTGCAGACATGACTGAATTTTTAGCTGAGAACAACCAGTGTGGACAAAATCTTGTCCTGTTGACCTCAAGAGGCAACGCAATTATTGCTGAACTGCGTCGCCTTGCTGATTTCATTCCACCAGCCTTGCGACAGGACAGCAGGCAAGATCAGATGAAGTACAATGAGATTCTTTGTGATTTTAGCTATTTCAAGAATCAAGAACAATTTGACTGCCGTATTGATGCCAAGCCAGTAAGTATTCTTATAAGGAATTTACTTTATTTAAACCATGAACTTTTTTTTCATTATCGCTCTTAATCTATACCATCACATTCTTGAAAGTTAAAAGCTGGTGATTTTTTTAAGATTAGAAATTAATATTCTAATATTTTGTTTTATTGAACTGTTTGAATCTTGTTCATCACCTAAATAATGATTTGATTTTTAACTGATAAACAAAACTAATTAACTGTTGATATTTTGACGTACAGCTTTCTGATAAAATCTGATCAAATGGAAGTAGAAAGTTTTGCATGTTGGTCAAGATCAAGTTTTAAAATTATGATCACCACTAAATATTAAATTAAAGCAAGTTAAAAAAATTTATTTTTTTAACAGCCATTCTATGATCATGTTGTCCCTAAAAGAAATTAAAATGTGTATGTTGCTTTTGAAGTCAAAAAAAATTTTAGACTTTCTTTCCAGTAAGGTTTTATTTATGTCATATTGTAGACTAAAATTTGTACAATCTAAGTTTTTGCCTGAAAAAAGTATGAGTTTTAGAATGTGAGTTGAAACTTGTCATAATTTTAAAATTAAAACAAATCTTAACTTTTTATCTAATGCATTGTGTTTAATGACATTTCCAACAATTATCATTTAACATCAAATCATGTTTACTTTCTTTTAACAATACTTTTAATTAGAAATTAACAAAAACTGCTAGCTAAAATCAAATTTGTCTGCAAATAGTTTAAGTATAAATATATCATTTAAGCTTCACACACATATATAATTAAAAAATTATAACATAAGCATGTTATAACATCACTACAAAAATAACCATTTTGTTTTAACACTTCTGGTATCTTATCAAGTGATGGTGTTGATTGCAAGATATATATATATATATAATCAAATATAAATACACAAAACATGTCTATATGTATGTTTGTATGTATGTATGCGTGTGTTTGTTTGTGTATTTATACATTTTCTTATATGGTTGTGTGCATATATTTGTGCATATGTGGGTGTGTTTTTATTTTTGTTTATAGAATTTTTTGTATTATAGTAAAGAAAACGGTGACTTACCTCATCAAACCAAATGACAGCATGTCGCGTGTATCCTACGATGGAAAATGTGGCAAAAAAGAAAATTACTTACCAAAAAAAGGAGCACGTATTCCGCATGATATGCTGAAGACGGAATATTTAAATCAAAAACAAGTCAGTCGCAGGAGTCACTATAAAAGTATGCAAAAATTGAGTGTCCTCTTCCAGTTGTTGACAAATGAAAAAAATGCTCGGCCGATAAAAGCAAGAGAAAATAAAATTCGGGGATTTTCGCTACTGCATTGGTCAGAGAGTGAGTTATTTTTCTGACTGGTTACGTGCATTGTGATTTGTGAGATAGTACCAGTGAATCTAGTTTTCGGCATTTCTTTCTGCCCCCAATGTTCTAGTCTGAACTTACAGTGATTTATTCTCTGCGTTGTGGAAGTAATCTGCGACAAATATTTCCTTTGCAATCCCAGATCACTTACATGTATGGGTACATGTTATGTTTGAACTTGCAGATTTAGTTATCCATTTTATATATATATATATATATATATATATATATATATATATATATATATATATATATGTGTGTGTGCATAAAATATATAGAAAATAGGAAAGAACTCGTTAGGTAAATAATCCAAAGTTCTTTTAGTAATTTTGTTATTATTTTTAAAAAAACAGTGCTTTCGATACAAAAGTAGAGCCTAAATATAATTATTTATTTAAAAATATGATTCCATCACTACATAAGAGTTCTTATGTTTCAAAACAAGAGCCGAAAACTTCAATATAATTATTTGAATTAAATTGAATTAAAATACCAATCTCTGTTCCATCTTCAAGTGAAATTTTTTTTGGAATAACTAATTCCTGAAATTTACGCATTTTATAAGCATATTCATTATTAAAATTAAAATTACGATGGTAACGGCTAGAGCAATTGTTTAAAGAAAAGGGGCGTAAGGGTTAATAATTTGTATCAATATCTCAGTTACATCCAAAGAGGTCAAGTCAGGGTAAGGTTGGGGTGTCTAAATTCAAAGTGGAAGATAACATCCTCTAGTCTGGTTAAGTGTCTATGGAGATTTATTTATTTTTTTATTTTATTTTTTATTTATTTCCTGAAAGGGTTTTGTGTATATAAAAAATCTGTCATAATTCGCTAACATTTATTTTTTTGACAACTTCATAAAGCATTTATATATATATATATATATATATATATGAATATGTGTGGCTGTTTATATGTATGTGTATGTATAAATATCTTTTCTTTTATTTATTTTGTTTATATGTGTTTGTTGATATGTGTATTTCAACTACTTATGCATCGTACATTGTATGGCTATTTTTTTGGCCCTTATTACCTTTATTTGATTACCCACCTCCCCCTCTTTTTTACCTATATGTTTGTTCATATATGTAATATTTTGATGGATAATCTGTATCATTTTATTATTGTATTTGTGTTTGAATCTTGGTGAGTTTGTTTATTTGTATATGTGTACGGGTGTTTGATTACTTGTATTTGGTTTTGTATATGCTTTTTTCGGATGCAATTTCCTTTTATGTTTAGTTATATTTATGTCAGTGTGTTAGGATGTGAATGTGTTTGTAGTGTCATCTGTATAATTTCACTTGTGCCTAATGCTTGTAGCATTTATTGATACTTTTCACATCAGCATTGAATTTACAGGATTAGCACGTACCTAAGAATAGTCATAATATATATATGTAAAAATTCCATGGGTCAGTAATCCAAGTAGATCTAACAATATAAAATATTAACACTGATCCATAAAAGAGAGCTCAATATAATTTTTATTATAGAGCATATAAGGGAATTACAATTAATGAGATCCAAATGATTTACCTCATACAGATGATCATTACTTAGTAAATGTATTTGCATTGATAAGTTCAAGGAAAACTACACTCCCCATGGACAAAATGATCATCCGTATGAGGTAAATCATTTGGATCTCATTAATTGTAATGCGTGCACACACACACACACACACACACACACACACACACACACATATATATATATATATATATATATATATATATATATATATATATATATATATATTATTTTTCTTTTCCTCTGTTCCATTTTTGAATGCTTGGTTTAATTTAGAAGTTGAAATTTTTAATTTTACTATGAAATTAAAACTTAATTATTTCATATTGATTTCTAGTTTTGTATAATATCAAATTTGATCAACTAATGGTTTATATTTAGAATACACCATCACATTTTTTGAATTTTCATATACTTGTATTCTGGTTGGTCATCATAAGTTATGTAACAAGGTTTCCCAAATTGAGTGGGTGTGATTTGGTTTTAATTTAAAAAAAAAAATTTTTATTTCACAATCAACACTGTCACTTAATAAGATACCAGAAGTGCTGAAACAAAGTGACTATTTTTGTAGTGATGTTATAACATGCTTATGTCATAATTTTTGAATAAATATTATTTGCTCTACTTTGTATTGAGCACTTTTTTAAAAATAATGGTTTTGGTTATCAGAATTTTATTCCATCTATACCAACCCTGTATTCATATATATATATATATATATAATATTGGTTACTTATTTTGAGAAATCAGTCATAATAATTAATTTTCTATACATCAGATGGAAATTTCTTTTAGATTCTTATATAAATGAGTTACTATATTAATAAAATATCCATTTTATTTTTTTTTTGGTTTTGCATTTTGGAACTAGAATTTATTTTATTCTAGTATATTGATAAGAACTGAATATAGAAGTACCAACAGACTAAAATTTCAATTTCAGATGATTTAAAAAAACATTTGTTTTTCTCTTAAAAGTTTTAAAAATTTATCTGATTAATTTGTTGTAGTTTTGACAGTTATTTAACAGATTTTTATTGATTACCTGTATCCAGGACTTACAAGACTTGGATGAAGAATTCAAAGAAAATCATATTGAGATTTTAACCCGCTTTTATCAAGCATTTGCCAGCATTCACAAATATGTAACTGATATGAATAGGTAAGAATTTTCTTTTTTCATAAATAAACTGTAAATTTTTTTTTTTTTTCTTTTAAGCACAATGGAATTATCATTGTGTTTCGGTATTTTATATTTTAATCATATAAGTATTACTGTGTTTGATGGCATTTAAGAACTTTTCTTTTTCTTTATTAAAAAAAAACAAAAAACTGAAAACAAATTTTTTTTTAATATTCCCTGCTTAAATAGCAAGATATAAAGGATCTCATATGCCATAAGTTACAGTTTAGAAATTAAGTGTTGGATTGTTATTTAATGTCTGCCTTTCTATATGGCAAAAAAAGCTGAACAGTTTTGACAAACAGAAAATAACAATTAGGCAACATTATCAAGCTTCTTCATTATACAGATCTCTATTTTCTAAAACTGACAATTTCATGATGAAAGGTTTGAAAATATTAGTTTAGTATTGAATGTTTTGAAATGTTACTTTTAAGTTTGGCATCATTCTATCTTCAACTTACCATCTCATTGATTAAATTTACTATGTACACACTGTATTATTGTTTATTTATCTATATAATTTTTTTAAAATTTCTTGTTTTCCCTTTGGGTTTTTTTATTATTTATAAATTTATATGTTCTAAGAAGCTTGATTCCTTCAGTAAAATTTTTATTTGTCACTCACACTTTTTCTGATCTACATTGATGTAATTGGTCATTTCTCTGAAATGTTTGTCAGGTGAAAATG